TATGAACAGACAGTTCTCCAAAGAAGAAATTCAGATGGCCAACAGGCATATGGAAAGATGCTCCACATCGCTAATTATCAGGGCAATGCAAATAAAAACCACAATGAGGTATCACCTCACAACAGTTAGGATGGCCAACATCAAAAAGACTAGGAACAACAAATGCTGGTGAGTATGCGGAAAAAGGGGAACCCTCCTACACTGCTGGTGGGAATGTAAACTAGTTTAACCATTGTGGAAAGCAATATGGAGCTCAAAAAGCTAAAAAGGTAAATACCACTTGATCCAGGAATTCCACTCCTAGGAATTAACCCTAAGAATACAAGTTCTCAGATTGAAAAAAACATATACACCCCTCTGTTTATCACAGCACTATTTATAATAGCCAAGATATGGAAGCAACCTAAGTGTCCATCAGTAGATGAATGGATAAAGATGATGTGGTACATATACACAATAGAATACTATTCAGCCATAAGAAAGAAACAAATCTTACCTTTTTTAACAACATGGATGGAGCTAGAAGGTATTATGCTCAATGAAATAAGCCAGGTGGAGAAATACAAGTACCAAATGATTTCCCTCATTTGTGGAGTGTAACCATGAATCAAAACTGAAGGTGTTGGCAGCCGCGCTCAGAAAATAGCGCCCCATGCAGGGCAGCCGGAAGGCCCCGAACTTCCTAATGACAAATCATCCCACACCACTAAACTACATGCTAATTGCGCCTTGGCATAAGGACCAATGAGACCCACCAAATGGTTATGCTAATAAGGCATATGGAGCCGCACCAACCAGGTCAGAGCATGAGAACTATATAAGCAAGCCTCTCCTTCCCCTCTGGGTCCTGCCCAACTCATTTGTTTCACAAAGAGCTGAAGAATAAAGCTTTCTGCAGAAGAATCCTGCTGTTGTTGCATGCTGTTCTTGCCGGCGAGGACAGGGCACGCGACAGAAGGAACAAACAGCAGCAGACCTACAGACTCCAAGAAGGGACTAGATGTTACCAAAGGGGAGGGGAGGGGCCGGGGAGAGTAGGTGGGGAGGGAGGGAGAAGGGGATTGAGGGGTATTTGATTAGTATACATGGTGTATGTGGGGGGGTTATGGGGAAGACAGTGTATCATAGAGAAGACAAGTAGTGACTTTGTGGCATCTTACTACACTGATGGACAGTAACTGCAATGGCGTATGGGAGGGGACTTGATAATATGGGTAAATGTAGTAACCACAATGTTTTTCATGTGAAACCTTCATAAAAGTGTGTATCATTGATACCTTAAGAAAAAGGAAAAAAAATTCAATAAGGGGCCAGACTCAAAACCTATTTTCTTCCCAGTATTTACTTGCATTAATGACCAAAGCTGTAATTGCCATTGTCAAGACTCCCATAATATTGGCTCCTTGCAATTGGAATTCTAATTTAGACACACCATCAGTGAAGAATACACACTGGTTGCTGGTTTAGCAAATAAAGATACAAGATGCCCAATTAAATTTGAATTTCAGACAAATGACAGTTTTAGTATAACTATGTCCCATGAGTTCTATTTGCTGGAAGTCAGTAAGTTCAGCTCACACTCAAGATGAGGGGTGTAGACAAATAGGATACTAGAAGGCATGGGTCACTGGGGGCCATATTAGAGGCCCCCTGCCATCCCCCTTTTTAAATTTTTCTGAGATACCCATTGTATTCCAAGTATATACTGCTGCTCAGAGAACAGCCTGGATACCTCCCTTCTGGAATTTCTTCCTTGGGCAATAGTTTTATTAGATGACCCAAGGGCTTAGAGGTTAGAGGTTTACCCACTAGACTTTCATCTACCCAGTACTGAACTGAATGGGTATGTTGTTACTTGCATCCCATGTGAATAATAAAAGGAGAGATGAAAGATGAATTAGTGTTTGCACTTTTTATGTCCACAGTGTTGCTGAGGTCTGTAAGTCAGTTATAAACATATGTCCAACTGACAACAGGGTCGTGAGATGAAGTTTGCTTCCTATAAAAGGATGTGAGCTGAAGTGGTGAACACCAGACAGTGGGGTGGTATAGAGATATCTGTGTTAAAATATAAATGTGGGTGCATGAGGGAGATCAAACCCTTTGCTGAGAACTAGAAAGACTAGAAAAATGAAAAAAGAAAGTTGTTTGAAGGAATCAGAGAACTGCCCAGGCAGCCAACATTCAAGGAGCAGAGATTCCAGATAGAAGGGAAACTGCGAGCTGAGTGTTTCCTACTCTTTGAGGAATGTACTGAATCATAAATGGTGTGGCACAGAGATGTTGAGAAGCTGAGCAAAAATTGGTTTGCCAAGAGGTGAGAATCGAGCAAAGTTTTCAGTGGTTTCAGCAGGATAGGAAGAAAAAAATCTGGAGTTTTGGAGAACCAAAGCAGTAGGAACTTGAGTTGCCAAGGTCCCAGAAAGAAAGGAAGCTCAGAGTAGTGAACCCAACAGTCTGAAGTTTTTTACTCCTTAAGGCATTCTTCCATTTGTAAGCAGCACAGGTCAAGAGGTAGAGGACCGAGCAGCCTGATGGTGCTGGGGAGATCAATCTGGGAGTTCAGGGGCCACGAGAGTGGAGGGGTTGCATGGAGGAAGTCCTGCAGGGCTAGAATCTAGAAGTAAGCGTGAATGGGAAATAAAAAGGCTTCCCCGATACGGAAACCAACCTTACTTCAGCTCAGTCACCGCTCCTATTCAAACTGCCTGCCAGAAGTTAAACAATTCTCCTATATATTGGAAAGTTATGTCATAGAGTGCAGTGGCGTTCAAACTTGAATGTGCGTCAGAATCAGTTGGATTCTTTGATAAAACACAGATTCCTGGGCTCTGTCCCAAGTTTCTGAGTCAGAAGATCTGGGGTAGGACCAAGGAATTTCATCTTTAACAAATACCCAGGGAGTGCTGATGCCATGTTTTCAGAGCCACTGATCTAAAAGTTCTCCAGTTTTTCATACTCAGTTTTGCTAACCAGGTAAGAATCACCAATAAATTACTATGCCAAGAGAAAAAGGAGAATAGTAGCAGACGCATAGAGATACATACTGGAGTCGTCAGATACGGGCTTTAAAAATAAATGTGATTAATGTGTTCAAGAAAAGACAAAACGGAGAACTTTGCCAGAGAATTGGAAGTTGTATTTAAAAAACAGAACAAAATGGAAATTATCAACTGCAAAGCACAGTAACTTAATAATGCAATAGATGTGTCTTAACAGCAGATTAACAAGAACAAGATTAGTGACCTAGAAGATAGAGATCTAGAAAAATATCCACAGTGAGAGAGAAAAAAGATGGAAAATAAATTGGAAGAAACAAGGGATGGAAAATAGGAAAAATGTGTCTGAGATATGAGATGCAGTGAGAAAGTCTAAAATCTAGGTAATTGGGAGTACCAGAAAGGCAAGAGACAAAGCAGCAGAGGCAAACAGCCACAGACGAAGAAATACACGTTACTTTCAAATAAGCAATGTTAAGATGGATGGGTCATTTCTCAGCAAGACTGATGTGTGGATAGACTCTTGGGTGGCCCCTAAGATCCTTGCCCCCTGGTGTTTACACCCTTGTATGACCCGTCCTTGAATGATCCACCCTTGACTATGGGCAAGGCCTGTGGCTTGCTCCTAACCAACAGAATAAGACAAAAGTGATGAGGTGTACAAAGTTATATACACGAGCATATCAATTCTAAGACCACAGGCTTATGATACATAAGATCATGGTACCCTTCTTACTGGGTCTCATTCTCCCCTTACTGGCTTTGAGAAGTGGCCATGTTGGGGAACTTCACATGGCAAGGGACTTTGGGTGGCTATTAGTATCCACTAAGGGCAGCCTTAGCTGATAGCTAGCAAGAAACTGAAGCCCTCAGTCCCACAAACTCAACAAATTGAGTAAAGATGGGAAGAGATCCTTTTCTACTCAAGCCCCAGATGAGAAACCATTCCTGATCAACATCTTAATTGCAGCCTTGTCAAGGACCCAGAAACTGTGAGATAATAAATGTGTTTTAAGATGGTAAGTTTGTGGTAATAGTTATACAGTAATAGAAAATTAATACACAATGAAAGAAAATACTTGAATTATATATTTAAAGAGCAAAAAGAAATTAATTTCCAACCTATACATCTAAACCCAGTGAAAATAGTTTTTAAAATGAAGGTGAAAAGCACTAATAAAAAAGGAAAAAATTGGTAAATTGGATATTAGACATTCATTCTATTCATCAAAAGATGCTATTAAGACATAAAATTTATCCAAAGAAAACAAAATACCTGATTTGAAAGGTATATATGCCCCTATGTTTATTGCCACATTATTTACAATAGCCAAGATATGGAAGCAACCTAAGTGTCTATCAATAGATGAATGGATAAAGATGTGGTATATATATACAATGGAATATTATTCAGCTATAAAGAAAAAAAGAAATCCTGACATTTGAAACAACATGGATGGATCTAGAGGGTATTATGCTCAGTGAAATAGGCCAGAAGGAGAAAGAAAATGCCATATAGTTTCACTTATTTGTGGAGTATAAAAACTAAACAAAACAGAATGAACAAAACAGCAGTAGACTCACTGACACTGAAAAGTGACTAGTGATTACCATGGGGCAGGGGTTGGGGTTGGGGGACAAAGGGGCACAGAAATTCTCAATCATAATATAAGTTGGTCACAGGGATGGTAGTACAGCATGGAGAATATAGTCAATGATTCTGTAACATCCTCCTATGTTGACAGTAACCGCACTAGTTGGGGTGAGAATTTAATAATATGGATAACTGTTGAACCACTGTGTTCTATATCTGAAACCAATATAAGATTGTACATCAACGATACTTCAATAAAAAATAAATAAAATACAAGCTCCCTAAGGAAAGAAAAACAAACAAACAAATAAATAAATAATGGAAGCTTTGGAAGCTTAATTTTTAAAACAAAATTGAATCTTATCCAAGAATATTATAAAAGAAAACCCGTATCTCTTATTTTGCTATTTCATTTTCTAACAGATTTTTTGAGGTAAAATTGATATACAATAAAAGAGTAAAATGGCAATCCATACAATGAGGAGATATTTGCAGTATTTACGGCTGATAAAGACCTCAGAACCAGAATATATAAAGAACAACAAATCACTAAGAAAAGGCAAATAGCCTAAAAGAAAAATGGTTAAACGACTAAACAGGCAATTTACAAAATAGGCTACCCAAATAGTCAACAAGTATAGAAAATGTTCTCAACCTGATGAGTAATCAAGCAACTGCAAAGTAAAACTACAATGTGATAATACTAACACCCACAAAATGGCTAAATTTCTTAATGACAATATCAAGGATTTATGAAGATGTGGAGCAATTGGATCTCTCATACACAGTTGGTCAGAGTGTAAGTTAATATAATCATTTTGAGAAATGTTTTGGCAGCACTTTCTAAATTTGAACATATCAGCAATTTTAGTCCTAGGTATATACTTCAAATAAACGCAAATATATGTGTACCAAGACAGGTATGGGAATACAAAGCATCTTTATTCATAAGAACCCCAATGGAAGTAACACAAATGTCCATCAACTGTATAATGGATAAATAAAACAAAAAAGAATTTTAAAGGAGGGGACTACTGACATTTTGAAAAATATGAATGTTATATTATAAAATAATATAATATATATAATATCAGCTCTGCACAGATAAAAGTCTAGAAGGATTCACTCTTGGTAAGTAGAACTGTGGACAAAAGTAGGAAAGGACTCAGACTTTTAATTATTTATGTGTTTTCAAATTATGTGCTGGAATTATTTGAAATGATCAAGTATTACTTTTGTGGTTAAAAGTAGTTTGGAGTTTTCTGTTATTTTCTTAAGGGTGTTTTGTTTTGTTTCACATTTGAGAAGGTTGGACATCCCCAGTCTAGATTTCTAAGTAGTTAAAAGCTAGGTAGACAAGTGCAGGTAATACCAAGAAAAAATCTCTGGGTTGGGAACTAAGCAATCGGGATTCCAATCCCAACTCAGTCACTGACTGGATGTGACATCTGGGCAGTCATTTTACTTCTTTGAGCCTCAGTTTCCTTGTCTAGAAGACTAAAATTTGGACAGGACAATCTCTTCCAGTCTGATATTCTGTGAATTTATAAACTGCTTCTCTGAGACTGAGGAGATTCTTGCTTACCCTTGTGGCCCCACTACCTGACACATAGTGTTTAATAAAACTTGTTAATAAATAAGTGAATGAATGATAAAGGAGGTAGGGCAAGTATTATTCCATTGGACTCCTGAGAGTTTACATGATGTCTTTAAGGTCACATTGGTAGGTGGTATAAGAGCTAGAATTCATGTTCAGTGTCTGAACTAGCACAGAGAATATGGATCCTGAAGAGGCAGAGAAAACATTATCTCCCCCAATACAGTGGAAGCAGGTGTCAACCAATAATTGCTGCTGCAGAATTTAAAGAAAACTGTAAATGTGAGAACTGGGCAATATTAGATAAACCTAAAATTATATACCCACACAATGTCAGAAGAAGCTGTGCTAAGTAACAACATCAGTACATCTGGGCATCATGACACTAAATAAGGCTGGCAGAGTGGCCTCTTCGGCTGGTGTCTTATCAAACCCAGGACATTAGAAGTCCAGACTTGGGGTCATAGCCAGACTATGGTGAGCGTTCTGTCACATGCTCCTGTGAAAAAGCACAAGAAAAAGTTCCCCTGGCAAACAAACAGGCTCCAAGGCCATCCACACACAATTCTCAGTCCACTCTTAAAGTAGCTTTGGACACATTTTGATGAGGAACATCTTTTTATTCAGGCTGCACGTCTTACTCAATAGCCAGCTTCCCATGCTTCCCAAGGAGCAGAAGCTGTAATAGCCTGTCCCATTCTGCTGGTGACTCAAGCACTGCAATTAAGTCAAAAGATGAATGACAAAGTTGGAGAAATGTTTACAACTAAAATCACAAGATGAATTTAGCTGATACATATTAAACTCCTATAAGATGTTAAGAAAAAGATCAACTCCAATTCCTAAATGGCTAAAAGATACAGACTATTTCCAGAAGAGGATATAAATGCCTCTTGCATTTTATATTATATTTAGCTACCTATTTGTGAAAAAAGAAAGGTCAATTTTTCAGGTCATTAGGATAGGTCTTTAAAAAAAACTGATTGCTTCTTAATCGAATGGTACAAAATCTTTAAAAGTATTAAAAGATACACAGTGAAGTCTCTCTTTCTTTTTACCCCCACCACATATGTCACGTCCTTTGATTGTTTTGCTTCTGAAAGATTTTGCCATGTAGGAATTTTTAGTATTTCAAAATTTTCAAATATTTCATTTATGGCTCCTGAATTTTGGTCACATGTTTCTGACTCCATGATTATTGAAAAATCAAAACATTAAAACTCCTCCATGATTTCTTTTACTATCTCTTTAAAATATTTAATCCTTTGGAATTATCCTGACATAGGTGTGAAATAGTGGATCTAGCACCACATATTGAACTTATCTCTCTGTGACTGATTTAAAAGGTCATCTTTTTCATAAACTAAATTCCTGCATATATTAGCATTTGGAGACAGGCAGGTGAGCTAATCAGAAAGGACGACAGCAAAGCCCTGGTGAGGGAGGAATGGGAGAAAAATACTAGACTGTCAAGTTTTCCTCCTTCCTCATGTAGTTGACTCAATGAGTGATGGCCTGACAACTATCATGACATTCACCAAACAGAATTACTAAATGACACTCACCCACCAGCAATATAGACAACCGCAAATACTTTGTAATATGAAAACTATGTATTTGGGCAGAAAAATGCAATACACAACCAGAAACCACTATTCTATCAATAATGATATTATTATCTCATGTAAGAACACAGAAATTAAGTTATTAAGGAATGCCAAGAGGAAACAATTCTTTAAAGTCTCATTTCATTTACTTTGTTAGGAAAGATGAAGCATATTTGGCTCTGGTCACAGTTCCATCATATTTACTTTCTTTGTAAGTTCAGCCTCAATGGTATCCTAAAGGAAGAAAGAAATATCATAAATACTAGAAATAAGGACATAAAACAGGGGCTTTAACTTCAAATGCTATTTAAAAACAAGGGAAGCAAAAAAAAATTAAAACAAATGTTTTAAAATACCATTACAAATATTAAATATGCTTTTATAATCCATTACAAATATTAAATATGCTTTTACAATCCTTTGCTTTTTTATCTACCTCCCTTCCCACATCCCAAAAGTTTCGAACTCTAATTCTAATAAACATCTAAAGGAGAAAGAAAACAACCTTTTAGAGAGATGAATTAGGGCAGTGATACCTGCAGATTTTTCTGACCTTCACTCCTTAAGCACCATACTTCCACAATGTCTCTTATATCACCTCTTTCCAATCCCCTTGTCACTGTTCTCATTACTTCTCATCTGGCCTATGTAAGCTAACTGATTTCTGCAATTTTCTTTCTCCTTCCTCTAATTCATCCTATATAATGACTCCAGAATAATCTTCCTAGAGATCTGGGCTGATCAAAAAACCAAAGTTTAATCACATTTCCCTTTAGGGGAAAGACACAGAAATTTCCAATGGTCCTCTACAGTCTCCAAATTCAACCCACATTATATTTAAGGTCTCTTATATTACAAACCAGTTGACCATCTTCAGCCCTATCTTCCCTGCATACACCTAAGAAACTAGACTGTATCGTTTGCCAAAACTTGGAAAAGTCCTCCACTGATCAGCTCTTATGTCTTTGTCTATTCCTTTTGCTTAGACAATTCTGTCTCTCAGCCCCCCGTTTCTACCTGGTAACAATCTATGCAAAAATTTAAAAAGATATGAAGACAACTCTGTATGTTTTTTGGAAAAATATATATATACATATGCCAAAAAGTTCTTAAAAGATGCATGAGAATGATGCACAGCACCCTTGGGGTTTTCTTTCTTTTTAAAAAAGCTGAAGAAAAAAATGGAACTACTTACTAATTCTCGCTTTGCTTCTTCGATTTTCACCTTAGCAAGAGATGGATTCTTTTAAAGAAAAATAAAACAAGGAAAGATTATATTGGCTCAACTAGGACTCAAAGGGAAAAAACTGCAACAATCCTTTTCAAAAGGCAAAAAATCCCTACAGAGAGTATATCCAACGTATATGCAGTACTGACATTCAGTACAGATTTTAGATCCTTAAACATGGACCCAATATTTTCATGATAATTTAGTGCCCTTGGGGAAAGCCAGAGGAGATGACTTTTTTTTATTACTCATAAAAATAATTACCGGCATTAAATCTAAATAGGACTCCAATTTTTTCTTCAAAGGTACAGTCTGTCCTTTTAATTCTGCCAATTTCTGGGGATGGAAAAAACACAAGAGCCACAGAATGATGGAGATATTCACAATGCAACTAAACACCACTCATTTCTGAAATCAAACATGATAAAGCATTAACATTAGGAATATTTAAAATAATGTACCAAAGAGCTTAAAAGATAAATGAATAACAAACTCACTTCCAATGGAAAGAATCTATATAAGGTGCTTAAAACAGTAAAGTCATATTCCCATTTGTTAAGAATAGGATTTAAGTATGCTATCTAGGAATACAAAATGATGTGATTAAGAGGAATCAAAATGTAAGAGAACAAAACATAAGGGAACAACTGTCAACTTTAGACTATAAAATGCAAAGTACAAAAAAAATCTTAAGACCAATAAAATTTTTTAAAAGCCCTTTTCCCAGCAAAATAGATGAAACCCTTAGACAACCTAAAAACCCAGAACTGTATTCCACAGGAGTTTGGAGGCCTGCATTTTTACTGTACGTGGAAAGAGAAAAAGGAGAACCTGTATGGTTAGCACATAGTCCCTAAAAAACTTGTTTAATGAATAAATTAGTAACATATAACTCCAGCAAAGAGTTTCTAGCATGTAGTAATAAATGAAGGAAAGCAAACAAATGTGAGAATATACATACAGCTAAACAAGTAATAAGACATAAATACTGGGGAACATAAAGTACAGAGAGAATGAAAAGAAATAAAGTCAACTGTGAATAAACCTCTATAAAAGGAACAGATGAAAAAGCAGATTGTGCACTAAGATTTTAAGTAAAGTCAAACTGGGTTCAAGCTCACCTCTGAGAGTGCTACTAGTGACTGATGAGACAGCGAAGCATCCATGCCTCTGGCTGAAAGTTGCTCCTACAATTACAAAGAAGGGAGTTCAGTTAAAAAAATTATTTTGAAAGTGACTATCATGAATTACTTTCAACATGTTAACACAGTAAAGAGAAGCTACAAATAAGATAAAGACTGCATGTATCTAGGGTTTTTATGTTGCATGTAAATCATTCTAGTCACAGATTTGTGACAAGACGTGTGCGGGGCTTAACAGCATGCACTTCAGAGCCTGGATACCTGAGTTTTAATCTGGATCTGCTAAGTAACTATGCAACTTTGGGCAAGTTACCTATCTTCTCTATAGTTCCCTTGTCTGTAAAAAGGGAATAATAATACTGCCCAGTTGGGAGGATGATGGTCGAAAAGATGTCTGAAGACAGCTAAATATATTCAGTTCTTCATACAAACCTCTGCAGCTCTGATTCCAAATTTGAACTCCTCTGACTTCGCTTTTAGGAAGCCCATATTCTGAAGACGATTGTCAACTTTGGCCCTTTCCACAGACAGATGCAACTCTGCCTTCTTGAGATCCCTTTAAAAAGTAATGTTGAAAACATTTCCTTCTCAGTGAAATTATTATAAAAAAGAAAGTCAACTGATTCTTGGATTCCTCTGGACTACCCAGGAGAAGATAAAATACTTGCTGAATTTTCTACCATCAATTTTGTATCCCAGACTAGCTGCCATACATTCTCCCAGGTCATCTTCCCCGCCATGTTGCATCTGGGATTTTTCTCAAGAAATACTAAGTAAGTTTAAGATATTGTGCCAATTATTCTTGAAGAAAGTAGATCTGCTGTTCAAAAAAATGATTTAATGTATCCTAAAGCCAATTTGAATCATGGAAGCTCCAAAGTCCTCTCTCCTAAACATGATATGACACAGTACCTTGTATCTACATATTCAGTATTTGTTGAAAATCTATTCGACAGTACATATACATACTCCTGATCCACAGCATCTCCTCTCTGGGGCAACTGGAACCCAAAGAAGGTCCAGAGCATTAAGAGGGATACCACAACTCTAGTAAGGAAGGGCAACAAAATATAATGTGACTTTAAGTTGCACCACAGTACATAAGTTAAAATTCATATGCATTTTGAAAATGACAAAACCCAGGTTATTTGTAAAAGAGGGAAAAAAGGTAAGAAACTGCATTAAGAGGTTATAGTCTTACCCAACCACCTACTACCTCCACCCAAGTTATTTTCTACTTAAAAATATATTTTATGGACCCCGTTTTCTAACATGTTGTTTTAAATCATATCTATTGCCAAAACTCAATCTGACAATGTTCTGTTACTGCCTTTATGATAAAAATGATCACCACTTCAAACTCAATTACTTACTCTTGTAGACATTTTTCTAATACTAAAGTTGCAGTTAGATTTTTTTGAAGTTTTGTCAATTCAAGCTTGATTTCTTCATTTTTGGATTTGGTATGAAAAAGGTCAGAGGTCAAATTGTTCACTGCAGGGATAAAACTAAAAAAAGAATCTGGGTCACAATAGATGGACATTAAGGACAAAATTATAATTATTCCTCATGTCAAACAATGATTTTACCTCTATGCAGATTATTCTATTAACCAAGCTGCTTCATACCTCTATGCATTTTTTACATGCTATTCCTACTGCCTGGAAAACCCTTACTCAGCTGGCAAATCTTCATTTGTCCTTCACACCTCAAATAAGATTTACTCTCATTCTGGAATTCACTACCCTTCTCTGTGCTACTCAGCTACAGCTGGTACCTTCTTGTACTGTTGCAGCTGTCACACTATATTATAGTTTTAAATGTCCATCTCCCTTATTTGACCATGAGCAGATTACCCTTGCTGACAGTTATTATTCTATTCATCTTTGTTTCCCCTTGCCTATCTATCTATATGGTTATAAGTAAATTCTTATATACACATATAACTCTCTATATGTATATGTAGTTATATGCTTAGTACTAATTGGTATTGTATCTGCTGAACTGACTTAATTCAAGTCTAGATTTCTGCTGCCATATAGCCTATATATTCTTATACTTGAAACACTACTCTTTGAGCATATATATAAATTCTAAGCCCTTATATTAGCAAGTAAGCAGACTAGCTGTACAGTCCTCTGATTATAAGTCACAGCGGTAGTCCTAGCCAAGCTGTGGCCACCCATGATAACCATATGGACTTTGGTGTCAGACTGGGTTTGAATTTCAACTCTGCCATTTACTAGCTCAGAGAAGTTATTTAACACACCCCTTCTGAGCTTCAGCTTCCTTTTAGGATTGTTGGAAGAATAATGTCATCATATAGGTGGTATGCCCGTCAGAAAGAACAAAGGTCCTTAACCAACTCTACCCAATTAGGTAGGGACATGACCAAAATTCACTATGCTCAATTAGATGATTTAGCTTATTGCTTTTATTATTGCTTATAGGGAACAATGTAAGTAACACCTAATCACTTGCGAATGTATATTAGGACTACGTTTACAAACCTAATCCTGGAAGAAGAAAACACTAAATCTTAAGCAATACCAAGCATCTGAATTACTTACATAAACTCACTAGTGATTTAAGGAGCTAACTATATTAGGTATTTTTGCATTTATTGTTAATTTCCTATATAAACTACCCTGAGAAACAGAAATCTTTAGGTATAGACCTTATAGCATATATGATTCTAGAAATTAAAATTGTCACAAGAATTACCTAGCTAGTGAGGTATCCTTTGTTTCAAGGGCCACTGCGCTGTCAACCAAGGCAGTCAGATACCTAGAACCAGTGCTAGAGAGACTGGCAGGGGAAAAATTCACACTTTCCATGAGAAGGTCTTGAAGATGCTTGGCTGAAAAGGTAAGAGTGCTATAGTAACTAAGATGTTTAATACCTTCATTGAAATCTTCACATATCATACAACCCATCCCCTAAAGTACAGAATACAGTGGCTTTTAGTATATTCACAGAGTTGCACACCCATCAATGTGATCAATTTCAGAATATTTTCATCACCCCAAAAAGAAACCCCATTCTTTAGACATCTTATTCTAATTCCCCAAACCCATGAGGCCCTAGCAATCACTAATCTACATTCTGTCTCTTTCCATTCATTTCCCTATTCTGGACCCTTCATATAAATGGTATAATGCGATATGTGGTCCTTTGTGCCTGGCTTCCCTCACTTGGCATAATGCCGTCAAGGCTCATCCATGCTGTAGCAGGTATTAATACTTCTTTCCTTCTTATGGTGAATAGTCAATTGGATGGATCAGCTGCATTTTAGTCATCCATTCACACACTTACGGATTTGGGTTACTTTCACATTTTGACTATTATGAATAATGCTGCTATAAATATTCATGTACAGATTTTTAATAGACAGGTGTTTTTATTTCTTGGGTACCTAGGAATGGACTACAGGTCATATGGTAACTCTGTTTAATCATTTGAAGAACTGCCAGACTGTTTTCTAAAACAACTGTATGATTTTACATTCCCACGTAAGTGTACATTTTAATGCCTCTACATCTGCACCACCAATTATTGCCTTTTTTTTGCACAGTGATCATTTAGGAAACTGAATAATGATCAGTGAAACTCAAGACCTGAATGTTTGTCTTTTTGATTGTAGCCCTTTTTGTAGGTGCAAAATAGAACTGTGACTTTAATTTGCATTTTCCTGATGGCTAAAACGCTGCCTTACTGGCCATTTTGTTTATCTTCTTGGGAGGAACGTACATTCACATCCTTTACCCATTTTTAACTGGGTTACCTGTCTTTTTACTATTGAGTTGTAACAATTCTTTATATGTTGTAGATAAAAGCCCCTTATCAGATACATTATTTGCAAATGTTTTCTCCCATTCAGTGGGTAGAGGCAGTCTTCTCAAGCATATATGAAACATTTTCCAGAATACAGCTTTATGCTAGGTCATAAAACAAATCAAAACAAGTTTAAAAGAACAAGATAATACAAAGTATTCTCTTTTCATAATGGAATGAAATTTAAAAGAAATTTGTGAAGCTCATAAATATGCAGAATTAACACACTTCTAGTAACCAATAGGTCAAGAAGAAGTCAAAAGGGAAATTAAAAAATACTTTGAGATGAAGGACAGTGAAGATACAACATACCAAAACTTATCGGATGCATCTAAATCAGTGATCAGAGGGAAATTTAATTACAAATCCTATAAAGAAAAATCTCAAATCGATAGTCAAACCTACCACCTTGTAACATTGAAAAAATAAGAGCAGACTAAACTTAAAGCAAGCCAAAGGAAGGACATAATAATGATTACAGCAAAAGTTAATGCAATGGAAAATAGAAAAATAGAGAAAAATCAATACAACCTAAAGCTAATTTTCATAAAAGATCAACAAAATTAAAAAAACCTTCCACTGATTTGATGAAGAAGAAAAGAGAGAAGATTCAAATTACTATAATCAGAAATGCAAGTGAGGACATCCCACTGATTTACCTACTTAACAAAAAAGATTATAAAGGACTATATGAACAATTATACCCAACAATTCAGACAACCTAGGAAAGCTCAGGCCTGGTAGGCTTTACCACTGACTTCTATCAAATACATAAAGAAGAATTAACATCAATTCTTCACCAACTCTTCCAAAAAATAGAAGAGAATACATCTCGACTCCTTCTATGAGGCCAGTATTACCCTGATACTGAAACCAAACAAAGACATCACAAGGAAAGAAAAGCAGAGAACAGTATCTCTTAAAAACATGAATGCAAAAATCCTCAACAAAATACTAGTACACTGAATCAAGCAACATATAAAAAAAATATACACTGTGAAGATATGGATTTATCTTAAGAATAAATGTTGGTTCAACATCTGAAAGTCAATTAATATATCATATCAATAGAATAAAAGACAGAAGTCAAATGTTCATCTCAATAGACACAGAAAAAGCATTTGAAAACTCCAGTACCTTTTCATGATAAAGGCACTCAATAAATTAAGAATAGATGGTACTCCCCCAACTTGATAAAGGGCATCTACAAAAAAGCCCACAGCCACGTTATACTTAATGGTAAAGACTGAATGCTTTTCCTTTAAGATCAGGAAAAAGATAAGGATGTCCACTCTTTCCCCATTTTTCAACATTTTACTCGAGGTTCCAGCCAGGGCAATATCTTTTCATTTTCCTCAACTGAAGAACTGACAACATGTAAAATAAATGGTTTCAAGAGTTTCATCTGTATTTATCATGATTAAAAAGTCTTCATGTACAACTTTTACATCTTTTCCCAATTCCTAAAAATATTTCTAAAATGTTCCAGTCTCATGTGCTGCAAAGAACTGTATGGTATAGAAATAAAAACTATCTAAAAAATGATTTTTAGTTTAAAAGTCATTCAAGTCCAGAGAGCTATATGATATCACTACTCAAAGCTTAGATTTACAAACCAAAGAAGCAGAACTCCTTACAAGTGTACTTGTTATAAGGTTCCACAAATTTTGTTTTCTGCTTGATACCTTCACTGTCTAAAAGGGAACACTTAAAAAAGAAGAATAATGATTAAAGTATATGAGGTGCAGATTTAACATATCAATGGTGGCAGGACTCTTCTAGATACTCAAGTATGGAAATAAGTGTCAAAATTTTGTATTAATAATAGAAACATTTGCTATTTAATATGTGTCACCCTAAAAGGTACTTGAGGACAGACATAAGTAACCTTAATTTGAAAATCCTTAGATTTTTTCATCACAGGGTATTGTAGACAAAAAGAAAGCTCTTATAATATAAGATTTTTCTGGATTCAAAGCCCCTTTCTCTATGCTGTATTTTAATAACTATAAAAATAAAATCATTTAAAAATAAAACAATTTTAAAGGCACATGTATGGGAGACTATGACCAAGTAGTAGGCTCTGGGGAGTGACAATTGTTCTGTATCCTGATTGTGCGGGTGGGTTTCAGAATCCATGTGTGCTAAAAGAGTACACCAAAGCAAAAGTCAATTTTATTTTAATTTTTTGAAGAAAACTGGAGAAAAGCACACATGCAGTAGAATTACAACATAAACTGTACTATATTCAAAACATTGTATGTAACCATGCCATGCACGTGTTTAAATATAGTGCAAATGTAGGTCTCACTCCCTTTCTTTTTTGTATATTCCCATCCATAAAAAAGTTTTTATCAGTCTTTTTTCATTTGTAGTTAGCATTATAAAAACAAAAGGGGTTTTGAATGCACTTCTTCAAGCTATATATGCAAAGCAGAAAATTCTAATGCAATCCCATGAATACACTGCAATAGAACAATTTGTTCAAGTCTCATAATTCATGGCTGCCACCTCGGGTGTCCTGACGGCTCACTGTAATTAAAGCATGGGGGCTGGAAACAGACCCAAAGTAGAAAGTAAGTGGGAAACCAGAGGCATCTTGTATGTCAGGCTGAGTTTAGCTCTTATCTTTTAGTGCTTACTGTTTTGCTATCAGAGAACCAACAGAAAATAAGATTGATGATTTATTAAGTTACTATAACAGAGTGGGAGACAAATCTGGGTAAAATGAAGCAAAACTAACTAGTAGTGTACACTTAATTAATATCATCTACTTTAGCATTATAGAATGTGGTTAACTCTGGTTAGTATTCAAAACTCCGAAGTTAAATCTCACCTTCTGATTCATATTCACTTGCTTTCTGTTTCAAGTCTTCTATTACCAGGTAGACATCTCTGTCCCGGACCCTGTTGCGTTCTGAAAGATGATGTAAAATCTCAGTGGTCCGTGGATTCACTTCATATTGGGGAATGGGATGATCTCCAAATATTTTTTTCAACCACACAGCAACCTAACCGTTAAAAGTAAGATAAATATTATAAGCCTTGTTTATTGTTAACGGCATGAAGCAAATA